AGATTCCTGGAATTCTCCAGCATGACTTCTCCGTGAAGTGCTTTTTGGGCAGGGTCCAGCTGAGACCACTCCTCCATGGAGAAATACACGGCCACTTCCTCAAAAGACACAACATCCTGAAGAAAAGAAATTTCCCTATTAACAGATAATCCCAAGAATAATTTGAGGTTTTTCTTCCATTAATTCTAGGAAAGAGATCTAGTGAACAAAATGGGCATCTTCTGCAGAATTCAGAGTGAGATCTCACCGCTTCTGGCTGATGACATAACTGAAGCAGATTGGATCTAGTTGGAGGTATTTGGAATGCTTTTCAGCATAGCCAACTAAAATAGTTTTCTTGGTCATTGGTAGTTGGGTCTTATATCCACTTAGTACTATATATATCTATGGAGATTCTCAATCACCAGATCACAGTTGTCCCAAAGATGCTTTTCAAAAGACAAAATAAGGGTTTTTTTTGTAATGGTGTGTGAGAATGACCCTGGGAGACAGAAGGAACAGCCCCAATGCTCACAACTGTCTGGTCAATGAAATCTGATGGCAAAGCAGGAGAGAAAGCATCTCACAAAGGATCCCCTCAGAAGAGAGAGGGTAGGCTAAGCTGAGCGTGAATGTTCAATGACTGGATATCAAATTTATATTGCTTAGAAACAGAAATTTTATACATTGAACTCTAGAACAAAATGAAATCCATCCAAGATTCATGGACTTTTCCGACATTTCTCCTCCTTACCTGAAGTAGAGGTTCAGCCAATCCTTCAGCTCCACCACAAAGAGGAGGTGACTCTACAAATTCCACGGACAGCTTTCTACTCTCTGTGAGAGAGAAAAAAATGGGAGAAGCAGATTTGTTAAAGAGAGAGATTGTAATGAGATGCAGCTAAAGAATCAGCTAAATGTTGAAATCTCACATCACACAGAAAGACCTTCTGTTACCTGGCGTGATGTCCTGACTTTGACCTTTCTGGAAGTTCTCCCCGAACAGCAGCTCTTGAGAGGGTTTGGATGAATCTTTCCCCCCCTTGGGATACTCAGTCGTGGCTTCCAAGGATTTCTGGACATGATGTGATAGGAGAAACAAAGGAAGAGCACAGAGATAGAAATGAATTATCATACTGCACCTTCAAACTAGCAGACCCCAATGCCCATTGCTGAAACCTGAAACAGAATGGAAGAATTGCCCCAAATACATCCTCTGGAAGAATAGAACAAATAGCCTTAGGAGTTAATAATCCCAGAAAACCCGGCCAGAAAGGAATTGACAGATTCAGAGTGATTCTCTTTAGAGCTGCTAAGACTACATTCTCACACCTGCAACTCTTCTTGAATCTTATCCTCCTCCTGGTTTATCAGGAAGCCTTCGGCCAGGGCCACCGCCTGGGAACTGGTTTCCGCTCCACACTCACGCACCCATTTCTCCATCTCTGGTGGAAGGACAGTCAGGAACTGCTCCAGGAGCACAAGGTCCAGCATTTGGGCCTTCGTGTGTATTTCTGGCTGCAGCCACTGACAGCAAAGGCGGTGAAGCTGACTGCAAACATCTCGGGGACCCCTCCCCTCCTGGAACTGCACTTTTCTGAAGTGACAGCATTGGACCTCTGAACTCTTGGCTTCATCTTCTTGGTTCTTCTGCCCAGGACTTGCCCCATTCATCTCAAAGCTCCAAGACTGAGCAGCTGCAGGGGTTTTTCCAGCTGGGCGTTGTCCCTCCATCTTCTCTCTGGTCTCTAATCCAGCTCCAAAACAGACTGATGGATCTGCACAGGTCTTCCTAATCAGAAGAGGTCTGTCAAAATTTCCTAAGTCCATTTAGCCCTCTTCCCACACAAGAAACTTAAGACTCAAAAGCAACCAGGAAAGATTTCCGACTTATATATCTGAAATGGAAAACAAAAGAAAATTCCAGAAATACAGGTTGACCAACTTAACAACTGAGCACACACAAAATCTGAAAGAAGAAATTCTTATGAACCCACCAATATCTGGGAAGGGAGGTGAAATCTTTGTAGGTAGTGATGTATCTCTGTGTGGAAAAAAATCTGTAGTAACCTTCTGGATCAACTTCTTTCAAGGACTAAACAATTTGGATACATAAATTTAAAATATGTTTTTGATTTCTTATTCCTACTCATTTATTCAAATAATTTTGATGGCTGCTTGCAGTGTGAAAACTAACCTCTGTACAATCCAGATCATCAATGTCTCAGGTCACAAATAGACATTGAGATTAGTGGCTTTCTAAAGCGATTTAATAGGTAAATCAATCAATATTTGAAGTTCCAGTGTAACTTTAGCCAGCAGAACCTCATTAAACTCCTGGCCCAAACTGCTATGGCTACCTGAGAAATCACAATCAACAAACCACCATTCAATGCAAACAGAATAATATCCGAATCAATAAACCAGCTTAACATGATGTTTTCATTCACGCATTTCCTGGAAACAGGTTCCCCACTTTTAGCCTAATCCTGAATAACTCCAACCTTTCTGGCGATCCTGAAGTTCTTCCTGGAGACAATGCAGTGCGTCCGGAGCTTTGATTTCTTCCCTGCCTGGCCCGTGCATGCACAGAGGCGGCAGGGGAACATGGGACCCCGGGCTCCCCCCTTTCCACGCCTCCGAGTTTTGCTTGTCTCCATACACGGTCCAGCCCGTGAAAGAAACGTCTCCCCACTTACTGAGAACGAGAGCAGAATCGCACCCGTAGGAAGGGCGGAAGCACCATCAGCCTCTTCTGGAAAATGCACCGAGCATGTCTCTCGACCTGCTGGAAGAGCGCATGCTCAGTTCTCTCCTGAAGCGGGGGCAGGTGAGGGCTTTGTAACGGCAGCCCAGGGAGCCCCCTGGTGGATCCTGCATGCAACGCTAGATAGACGCTGCAAGGGAATAGGGGAGATCGTCATGTTCCATGCGGGCCTGGGATGATGGGCATTGGAGTAGAAGGAAAGGGTCCCTCTAACATTGCCTGTCTTCAGCAGGCAACATTTTCTAGGCTTTCCATTTTGAAAGTCTAAGAACCAACTTCCATGTTGTGAATATTGACAAAATCTCTGTGGCGGCCCAAAAGAAACAGGAGCCTCTCTTTGAAGCCCCGGTTGTGTGACACTGTGGTTGTGGGCAAACTCAGTCCTGAAGTGAGGGAAGATAAAGGGGCTGGCAGAGTCACAAAATAGGAAGTGAAGGGGTAGGAAAATTAAGACTTTTATTCATTTTTTTATTTGGTGAGTTCAATTATTACAGCTGCTTTCTCAAATTCTTGCCTCTGGGCGGCCAACTGTGGTTCAAAACAGCA